GAAAGAGTTTCTATAAAGCTTCTAGTGCACTTTGATTAACTTATTCTACTTATGTATTCCTCATGTCTTTTAAATTGGAAAACTAGGGAAAACCTCTCGGGTAAAAGAAACACTAATGACTAGGTAAACACGAGTGGGATTGGTGAGGGAAAACTGAGTCTAGTGGGAGACGAGATTGCCGCACGAGTTAATTCATGGAGCGAAAACTTACTTCGTGTAACATAAGTTATGGTTGGGTTCATAACTGTTATTTCTCCCAAAACAAATGAGACAAAAAATTAAAATAATTGTGTTTTGAAATTCATCTAGAAAATCCCATGATATTTGAATTGATATAATAATGCAGTGACCTGAAAAAAAATCATTTTGAATTGATGAATGACATTACAAAACTAGATGGAAATTTATCTGTTTATATCTTATTATCTCAATTAAATGTTTTGTACCTCAATGTTAGATTAGTTTATATCTCAATCAAAATTATTGTTTTTTCAAAATTATCTTAAGAACAACATCATTTCAATGACTTATCACTCTTGTGGTCATACCCTCCTTACAAGAACACGACATCACAGTGGTCCTTTTTTAATATTTTCTAGGTGGTTTTTTATTAAATAAGAAAGTTTTCACATAATATTATGACTACTAAAAATCCTAATTGGTCTCTTAAAGATTCTAGGTAAATGACTAGTTTCTTAAAAAAAAAAAGGCATTAGCATCCATAGTATATCTTACTTGAAATAAACTGTATTATTTTTCTTTGTTTGTTATGGTCTGATGGTGTTTTTATTTCTATCAGCCAAGCCTGACAAGTTTGCTACAATGAATAAACACTAATTTTCTATGTGAAGAACTTAATTTAAAATTGTAAAATATCCTCAATTATCATTGAGGTATTTATGAGATTTCAAATAAAATTTCTTGTAATTCTTTATATTATAAGTGAGTGAGTTGTATTACTCTAAATAATATTTTAAGTATTAATCTCATACATGCTTTTTATCATTATATTAAAGGTGAGTAATAATAAATCATTATCATTAATAATATTTTGAATATTAATCCTTTTGGAGGTTTTATCCCTATATTAAAAGTGAATAATATATTCTCTTGTCAAAAATATATTTTAAATATTTTTAAAATATAATTCAAAATTCCTTGAAATTTTACAAACTTGTTGTAAAATCCATACAATAGTTTTTTAAATATGCCAAAATATTTTATATTTTAAATAATGCTTAAATAATTTTTAGGATTTTTAGTTATATGCCAGGAAAAAAATATTTTTTATTTTTTAGTTTTTTAGGCTTAGTTGGCAAATGCTTATTTTTTTTTTAAATAAGGCTACCAAAATAGGTATAAGGGTGTATTTGCCAAATATGTCCTTAAACCAAGATTTTTTTTTATTAAAACAGTGGCAAACCAAACATGGCCTACCATCTGAGTTGACTTTAACAAAAAAAATTTGGTTTCTGAATACATCAAATCAAAATTCATTGATTTGACCCGAAAAACAAACCAAAACCTACACTAGAATCCAAAACAAATCAAACTTGATAAAAGCTCGAAAACTTTGTATCAAAACTAATCAAAACTCAAAAGAAACAAAGAACACAAAGAAAACCAAAGAACATTCAAACCAATTGCAACAATATGAATTCAAATCCAAAATAGATTTCATCAAATCAAAAGCACATAAAGGTTGTAAATCATGTTTGGAGGACCAATAATCAAGCATCCATTCAATGAATTATTATGAATTTGTCAAAATCTATTTAGTGCAACAAAAAAAACCTATAATTATCAATAATTGATACAAAATAATCATAGATTATTAACTAATCAAGTCCTTCCAAAGTGTTTAATACAAAGAAATGAATAAAAACTAGTTCAAATCATGAATTCAAGGCATTATTCCTGGAAAGAACTTGAAAAATATAAAACCAACAAACCTAGAAATAGTCAGTACACTATCAAATCTAAAGATGACATTTTAGGCCTTTAAAACATTATTTTTTATTATTATAAACCATATTACCAATACCAAACACAGTTGAATCCAAAAACCTAACAAATAATATACAATCATTAATAACACATATGAAGTTTCAATTTTTACAATTACAAAAACTAACAAATGGCATATTCAACAATTTTAGAGTTTAAAATTGACATTTTAACACTCAAAAAAACTTAATCAAAACCCAAGAACATATAACATAAATAAATAACACACAAAAACATCAACATCACAAATTACAAAAATTATTTCATCTTAGCAAAAACAAAATTAAAACATTTTGTAAACATCTATAAAATATTAATAAGCAATATTAAGTAAAGAAAAAAAAATATTTTCACGTATTGAACAATATCCAAGCTCAACACCATATGACACCAAAACAAGTCTCAAATATTACTAAAATATGTAAGAAAGATTTATAGTTTTGTTAGATGAAGGTTAATAGTAGTTGTTATTTTATTTTATTTTTTTGCAAAACTTTACCTTTTTAAATTTAAAACCTTCCAAAGCTAAAAGAAATCTTTGTAATACAATGATGAACCTTTACTATTAATTTTTTCTTTTTTTTTGTGTATTTATATGAAGCCCCAAAATGAATAATAATACTCTTATTTACAATCTTCTTCTCCTACTAGCTATAAAGATCATTTTCTAGATTTTCTTATTGATAATTGCATCAAACATGAAATTTACCCATAATTTTAGTGTGCATTTAATAATATCGTCCATAATTATACAAAAAGTATTTTTCAAATTGAAAATACATTAAAGAAATTTCAAGCAATACAAAATCAAATGAATTGAGAATCCATATCCAGCTAAGAAAGTCATAGTCAATATTGGACACCTCACCTCGCCATTTGATAAGTGTAATACAAGTGCTGACCTTCCTTTCCTGGAGGCTGCCCCGATACAGACACGCACGCCAACGAAGTGACTTTTCCTCCTGCCGTATAAATGGGCATCGAATCTCGGCACCAAAGACAGCAACCACAATGGCTCTCACCCATAGTTTTCTTCTTTTCTGCTCCCTTTTTCCCTTCTTCATCATCCCTTCCTTGTCAAAAACATCATTCAGGCCCAAAGCATTAGTCCTTCCCGTATCAAAAGATGCATCAAGTCTCCAATACGTTACCCTGATCAACCAAAGAACCCCTTTAGTCCCTGTAAAGTTAACCCTTGATCTTGGTGGCCAGTTTCAATGGGTTGACAGTGAAGAAGGCTATGTATCGTCTTCTTATAAACCTGTACGTTGCAGATCTGCCCAATGCGCACTTGCTAGGTCAAAGAGCTGCGTCACTGAATGCTATTCTGGCCCCAGGCCAGGATGCAACAACAACACATGTTCTGTCCTCCCTGACAATACGGTAACAAGTACTGCCACTAGTGGTGAGGTTGGTCAGGATGTTGTTTCAATTCAATCTACTGATGGATCAAATCCTGGCAGAGTGGTTTCTGTGAAGAAATTGATCTTCGCTTGCAGTGGAACACGTTTCCTAGAAGGTCTTGCTAGTGGTGTCAATGGTATGGCTGGCTTTGGAAGGACTAAGATTTCACTTCCTTCTCAGTTCTCTGCTGCTTTTAGCTTTGACAGGAAGTTTGCCATTTGCTTGACCTCTTCGGCTTCCAATGCTAAAGGTGTTGTATTTTTTGGTGATGGGCCATATGTTCTTCTTCCTGGTATTGATGCCTCCAAGTTTCTTATTTACACCCCATTAATTCTCAACCCTGTAAGCACAGCGTCTGCTTACTTCGAAGGAGAGCCTTCTTCTGATTACTTCATTGGAGTCAAGTCTATCAAGATTAATGGAAAAGCTGTACCATTGAACACATCATTGCTATCCATTGATAGGATCCAAGGCACTGGTGGAACAAAGATTAGCACTGTGAATCCATATACAGTAATGGAAACAACAATCTACAAAGCTGTCATTGCCACTTTTGTGAAAGAGCTAGCCCTTGTTCCTAGAGTAGCATCCGTGGCACCATTTGGGGCATGTTTTAACTCAACCAACATTGGTAGCACAAGGGTTGGACCGCCCGTGCCACAAATTGATCTTGTCCTGCAAAGCAGTAAAGTTTCCTGGAGGATTTTTGGTGCAAACTCAATGGTTCAAGTAAAAAGTGATGTCATGTGTCTTGGGTTCGTGGATGGAGGTCTAAACCCTAGGACTTCAATCGTCATCGGAGGTTACCAATTGGAGAACAATCTTCTGCAGTTTGATCTTGCCACTTCAAGGCTTGGTTTCAGCTCTTCACTGTTGTTTAGACAAACAACTTGTGCCAACTTCAACTTTACCTCTAATAATGTTTAAAAAAAGATTGTTTCCTTTCGTGAAAAATACATCATGTAGTGTGTTGATCATTTGCGCATGTTGCAGTTTTTTTTTTTTATCTGATATTTGAATCTAAATAAATAATAAATTTACTTGACATCCAACGCCAACCTTTCAAGTAATATTTGATTATCATGTCAGAATTAAAAAAAATAAAGTACGAATACAAATTAAAAAAAAAAGAACAATACAAATTCAAATGAATTGAGAATCCAGGTCCAATCCTATCCAATTATTTTGAGTCGAATCAGGTAGCTTTCAGGAGAAATTTTATTTTATGATGACTGGGTCACTAGTTTATGATACTTGGATTTAAATAATTTTTGTAATATGTAGGGCTAAACTCATGTGATGCATTCTGTATTTTCACCGATGCATTAAAAAAGCTTTTCTTTTATCAATTAAACATTCATATTTTCAATTTTTATTAATTGAATATAATTTATCTATGTGGAAAAAGAAACTACTTAATAGTGAGCGTGGATCAAGGCGATCTAATTAACTCGAATGAAAGCAAAAATAATAATAATAATAATCCATGTATTTAAAAAGATTTTACTCTATCGGTTGAGAATAAGTTTCTACTATGAGAGAATAAGTTTCTACTACGAGATAATTGATGAATATAAACAAAAACATAAATAGTTTTTTTTTATTGTGATCTTTATTGATCAATTTTTTTTCATCGCTAACTTCTTTTTCATCGCTAACTTCATTGGTAAATACCGATGAAAATATATTGTTGGTATTTTTTTATGTGCTCACTAATGTGTAAGTTTTTATGGATGTTATTACTGATAGAATTACAGTTGGATTCAAACAGGTAATCTGTATAATGACATGTCACTTAGATTGATAGAATTATCAATAGATTGATAGAATTATCAACAGATTGACAGACAAAATAATTCCATCAATAATATTTAATATATAACCTGGCATTTGACCTTTCTCAATCTCCCCCTCCCATATTTCTCTTTCTATCTTAAAAAACCTAGGCAACAAAACAAACAACCCCATCTTAGGTAATGCATCTATCCTTTTTTAAATTTGAACGCATTTTTAGAATGTTAAATTTTTTATTGTATATCTTTGTAGTATATGTATTTTATTTGAGTTTTTACTTGTTTTATTATTTTTTATCAAATAAACTTGTTGTATCAATTTATAAATTTGTACATGTTATGGTTTGATTTAGATTCTGTAAAATTATATTTGTTTGTAAATTATTGAAACTTATATCAAATTACCGACTTAGGTGTGTTGTTATGAAATAAATAATGACTTGTTTAACTAATCCATTTTATATTTTGTCAATTTTATTGTTGAGTTGTAATTTTCATAAATGTATGTAAATTTGTATCTACGTAGATAATTGATAATGAATTAAAAAAGTATTAAAGTAGGTTGAATAATCTTGAGTTAAACAAATATTTTTACAATTTTATTTACTTAGTGTAGTTAATTAATACATGTTGTCATCATTATTTAATATAGGTTTGATAGAAATCATGAATGATCATTAATGGATGCATAGAGGTTCATCTTAAGGATTATGGAGAATGTATTATTGCAATGAGGTTCGTGATTTTATTAATTATGTAATATCTAGTTCGAGAAATATTAGTGGAGGCAGTGTCCTTTCATAGCGGGATCCATTCACCCGTAAGTACACAGCGCATTATAAGGATGACCTTTCAATGTAAGTTTATTTTGCTTTGAGTTGGTTCATATTTAACAATTTATGAACAAATAATATTTCATTAAATTTCTCAATTTTCAAGTTCACAAACATTGAGGTTACCCAAGTAATAACATCGGCATTTAAATAGTCAATGGAAATTCCATTGTTTTAATAGAGCTATATTTCCAAACATCCTGATTGAAACCCACATGTCGATGCATGATTTACAAGATTTAAGGAGTTATTGATATGTTATTATAAAACATGTTTTAGTTAAGGAGTTATTGATACTTCAAGTGCAAAATGATGATATAAAACCTTAGTACTAATCACACCCCCAACCAGCTTATTACCAATCTCTAGTAATCAAAGCGTTAAAATAGAAAATCAATTTGCAAATTCCACAAAGCAAGGTATTCATCATTCAACTTCTATTAATCCATCCAAATGAACAAACTCTCATTAAATTTATATATCTACTCAATACCTCTTAAACAAGATATTAATAAACATTTTTTTTTGTGCTCAATAAATCAATACATAGTTATGAGGCTTTACTTAGAAGAAAACAAAATCTTGTTCTAATGTTTAAGGTTAACTTTCTTAGGTTGAAATTTTTTTCTTCTTTTTTTTATTTTTTTTTAAATATATATACATGTAACTTAAAACATAATGCATCTTTAACCCATGTAATGAGCTTTCAGCTAATAACTCCCAGATCAGTTGATCTTAGGGCATTAGGTGTTAAGACACCCCTACGAGCTTAGTAACTCGGGTTACTGATACTGATACGTAGATAGTGCAATGTTTGATTTCATTAAGCTTTTCTTCTCAATCCATGTAACAAGCGTTGGGCCAATAGCTCCCAAGTTAGTTGACTTTAGGGTATTAGGTGTTAAAACACCCCTTCAAGCTTAATTGCTTAGGTGAGGGAGGCTACTAAACCAAATTTATCTACATTTTTATTATCATTATTTTTTTTGCTCTGTTCTTTTGTTTTTTTTCAAATTATGTACTATCCTTTTCTCTTAGTTGTTACCTTTAACAAAAGAATATAAATAATATAATAATCTAATGTACAACCCACAATTATATGTGAAAATGTGTATGTGAAAATTAAGGTTTAAGAATACATGTTAAATGAGTATATGAGCAGAATTAAGTGATAATAATACGAGAGTTTGTAAACCTGAATATTTTAAGAAGTATTATGATAGACCTTATTAAGAATGGTTACTAAGATACATCTCAAAAGCCACTTTAACAAAAGAGCTCCTTTACTCTATCATTCTAGTATTTTAAGGTTAACTTTCTTAGGTTGAGATTTTTTTCTTCTTTTTTTATTTTTTTTAAATATATATACATGTAACTTAAAACATAATGCATCTTTAACCCATGTAACGAGCTTTCAGCTAATAACTCCCAGATCAGTTGATCTTAGGGCATTACGTGTTAAGACACCCCTACGAGCTTAGTAACTCGGGTTACTGATACTGATACGTAGATAGTGCAATGTTTGATTTCATTAAGCTTTTCTCCTCAATCCATGTAACAAGCGTTGGGCCAATAGCTCCCAAGTTAGTTGACTTTAGGGTATTAGGTGTTAAAACACCCCTTCAAGCTTAATTGCTTAGGTGAGGGAGGCTACCAAACCAAATTTATCTACATTTTTATTATCATTATTTTTTTTGCTCTATTCTTTTGTTTTTTTTCAAATTATGTAATATCCTTTTCTCTTAGTTGTTACCTTTAACAAAAGAATATAAATAATATAATAATCTAATGTACAACCCACAATTATATGTGAAAATGTGTGTGTGAAAATTAAGGTTTAAGAATACATGTTAAATGAGTATATGAGCAGAATTAAGTGATAATAATACGAGAGTTTGTAAACCTGAATATTTCAAGAAGTATTATGATAGATCTTATTAAGAATGGTTACTAAGATACGTCTCAAAAGCCACTTTAATAAAAGAGCTCCTTTACTCTATCATTCTAGTAACAACAATTTGGCACATGCTTTATGAAATAGAAAACACAGTTAATTATTTTTTTTTATCAACTACTACCCTCTCCTTCTAATCAAAACGAGATATTATCCTTAATGTCTTAAAGTAGAAAGATAGAGTATAGAAAACATTACTTAAAATAACAAACACTAACAAACCTGAAACATACTTAAACAAATAAGAAACAACAAAACACAATAATAAAAGTAAAAGACATAAAGATTCACAAATGAAGACTCAAATCTAATCTAAGCTTTTTACGGCTTTCCTTAGATGACCAATTTATGCGACTTATGAAAGGAGCAATTACAGGAATGAAAGATTGTAGTTAGTCAATCAATTGTTCAGTATTAGCAGCAGAGATTATGGTTTGTCATGCAGAAGATGTTAGAAATTCATATTCCACAGCATGATCAAGAAAAGACAACAACTTATCATAATAACTACTAACATTTAACAGACCTATGAGTTTATGGTAAATGTGCAGTTGGGCCCAAGAGGAAATATGAAAGATCCCTTCCAATGTGCCTAGACCACTTGGTAAGGCAATGAAGGCATCAACATGGAAATATGAAAGATATTGTGGAGACTTGTAGTTCCTCTCCAATTGTTTTTTCAGTAATGTCCCCTTGTGCTAAAGCTTTAGGAATGACTCCCAAAACTTGACTACCTCATAAAAATGCAGCTATTGACACACCTCCCATTAACCTAAGACTGTCTCCCCCATATACTAATGAATCTTTCTCTCAGTTAGCACTTGACTAAGATGATTTGCTGATTCTAAAAACTCATTTTCTTTTCCAAGACTAGATCCACCGAAAACACAAATATTTCTTATGTGATGACCTGAGGAACTTGCCATTTCTACACATTTCTATACTTGTTGAATGTATGGGTTGAGTAGAAATGAAAGGAAGGAAGAGAGGATTTTATAGATGAGAAATTAAAAAGGCAATCATACCACTTATATATAGGTCAGCTGGAGTCTGACACGTACACTCTCTCTTTTTATTTATTTATTTATTTATTTTTAAAAAAGCATGTGTATGTATAGGTAGTTGTGATTGTGGCTCTAACACGACTAAAAGATTGATGTCTTCTCCCAAGTGCAGGAGTGTCGAAGTAATAAATAACCTAGCAAGACCGGGATTGAACCACAGGGAGGTTAATTATACAAATTATAAACAACAATTATAAACAACAATAATAGTAACAACAACAACAACAATAATAATAATAACAATAATTACAATAATAATAATAGTAGTAGTAGTAGTAGTAATAATAATAATAATAATAGTAGTAGTAGTAGTAGTAACAGAAGAAAAAGAAAAAGAAGAA